ACATTGTTTACTGTAAACATTTTTTTTTTTTTCCTACAAAAGTATTTAATCCATATAAATATTCATTACTACCGTTGGTAAAAAAAAAAAAAAAAATAATCACAGTAAACAATGTAAAGATTCTCAAGTCTCACACAAATTCTAATAGACTTAGCATGCTGTTTTGTACTAAAAATGAAATCTTCTTTTGACTTTTAATGTAATAAGAATTAGTATAAGTTAGAGAAATATCTTTTTCATTTCACACATTCTTATTTCATAAAATCTACTTTAATGCAAAACTAATCCACCACACTCAACTCAATATTACATAATACCTTAAGCTTTCAGATAGAGCTGTTTTAATAAATTCCCTCAAGTTTTTAAAAATAAATCACTAAAGAATACAGTTTGAAAAATATAAAGAATATTGACTTTGCCAAAATCACCAATTTTATTAACTGTGTCTTAATAATTTTATACATCGGTGATGAAATTTTGTGTGTAAATACGAAGATTGATACAGGATACATATATAAAATTATTTTTTAACTTACACGTCTGCAAATAATCTTATAAATATCTTGCATGGCAGCTTCAGCACACTGCTCATATCCAGTAATGGTGAGGATTCTGTTGTCTGGATCTTTTTTCGGAATGTGTATGTGCACCTTATGTGTTTGTTCGATTCTGGATATCACAGACCCTTTCAGATGAATGATGTGTCTGTAATGGTTGTGACTAACTCTCTTGTTCAACTGAAAACTACGTAACACCTGCATTATAAAGTATGATACAGGAAGTTATAACAACAAAAAATATATGTGACTTTAAAAATTGAGATAAGACAACGAAATATGCATCTTAGAGGACATAAATATATGTATGTATAGCCTACTTAAGCCTAACGCTCAGAAATTACTGAAAATGCCATAGAATGTTAAATAAAAGTACTGCAAGTTATGAAGACTAACTCATTCAACCTAAAGAGGGGTTAAATCACCAACATCCAGGGATAATCTTTTGTAATTACTTCTTGTTTTTATCTCATGTTCAAAGTAATAATTAAATATTTTAAATATATCACTACCTATTTTCCTATAAAAAAAAATACAAACAAAACAAGACTCGTTAGTACCAAAAATGCTGGTGAAAGACTAGAAACATAGTTCCTAGAAACTTCTAGTAATTAAACATCAAACATAGAACTACTTTACAAAACCAGCACTAACTAAATCTTCCATCATGTCTTCAAGTATCTTTTTGGCTTCCATTGCTGCCTCCTTGTGGCCAGTGATCGTGATTGTTTCTTTATCCTCATCACTGTTTGTCGGAAAAACAATTCGTGCCCCCGTCTTTTGTCGCACCTAGTGTTGTGCAAGAAAACCCTTGGCAACATTAAAACTAATACAAGTCTTACAAGTTATGTAGGTGTTATATAAAGTTACAATTTGTCTTTGTTTTTAAATAATAATAAAAAAAATGATTAAATTAATGCAAAATTATTACTTAAAAAAACGTACTCAAAAATAATGAAAATACTGTACAATGAGAAACAAAGTTAATATTTTCTATATAAATCATTTACATGAATTACAACCATGTAGACTTTAAAATATGAATGATATAACCTTTTCTTTTACCTTCTTAACATTAGCCCCTTTTACTCCAATTAAGAACTTGTGGTACTCAGGTCTAGCTTTCAGTTCTACTGTGAATCTAAATTGTTGCTTTAAAATAAAAACAATATAAAATAATATATTGATGAATATGCACATTCATATAAATACACAAAATAATATTTAATAAAAGATTAATGTATAATGATATTATTTTTGCCTTTTTTTACTTAAAGGAGCATACCTCATGAAGAACTTTTATTATTAGTTATCGTTATCTTACGAGGGAGAAAAAAGGAAATAATGGATAGGATCATGTATTTAACAAATTTATAATTATGTAAAGAATGTGAGCTATCTGTACCCTGTCCACTGCGATGAATCAATTCCTAGATTATCCAAACAAAGCAAAATGTATTTATTGAGCTCATTGCTAATCGCAGCTGTACCAAGGGTAGTGCCAACAAAAATCAGTATGGTCTTGTTGTCAACAGGTTATTTTGGACTTAAAAAACAATAACAATGAAATACAAACAAACCTAAAGATAATATACCTATCGGGTAAACATCTTACTTTTTTCTGTAATAGCTCCGTCAGCTGATGTTTAGCTTTGTCAACATCCTCTTTTGGACCTCTGAGAATGAATTTGTCCTTTATAGAACCTCTTCGTGGAAATACAATTCTTACATACCCACAGTTAGCTGAAATAGAACGGATCTGTTGGCCTTTGATACCAATAATAGATTGATGAAATATGGCTGGGATGATAACGTCCACATCTTCTACATTTCCCTGGACAATAGATACTACACAGTTTAATTAAAAATATGTTAAGTAGCAATAAAAAGCTTACTCTAAAACAATTTTCTAGATTTTGCTAATACTGATACTATTGAGATACTACAACAGTAAGATCATTAATTCATTTTTAATTCACGTTTCAAAGCAATGAACAGGTTTACAGCTCATAAAATATCAGACTATGAGCACTTAGAAAATGCAACAAATAATTTTTGATATTATTTGTTCAATGTGGCTACTTTTAATTACTTGTGTCAAAATTATATTAGTCTTTAATAATTGAAAATCAATCTAAATAGTTTATGTCAGAAAAAGTACATAAAAATTCTGGATTGTAAGGTGTGTTTTTAATAATAGAATCCCCCCCCCCATTTCCATAAAGAAAAAACATTGTTAAAAAAAAACTATATGTTTACCAATTCATCCTGAAGAGATGTAATACGTTTTTCTGATGCCATAACATTTTCTTTTCTGCCAATAATGATTAAAGTATTAGTTTTACTATTCTCTGGAGGCAGTACAATTTTGGTCTCTGTTTCAGTTTCAATCTGGAAGAAAAAACCTTAATTTAAAAAATAAACTATAAGCATCTATACATCAAAAACATATCTACAAAAACTGGAACAGTAAATAAAAACAAGTGTTGCTCAATTAAGTGTTTCTTTTAAATCTACTTTATTGGAAAGAATTTGAAAAAAAAATAGTTGCAATCTTGACATACAGGAAAAAAAAAGGAGAATACAACATAAAGAATAAAATACATCTCTTAAAACAGGTTAAGTAAAATTTGAACTTGACTGTTAATTGTAGATATATGATACAGAAACATAAATAAATACTGTACAAAAAATAATTTGCTAATCAAAATTTACTATCATCAAAAATGCATTACCATTTTATACCTTCCATGGAAAATCTATATGATCTAGAAATTTCAGTTGTTGTGCATGGTTCAACTTAAAATAATATACCCATTTCAAACCATCAAGACTTTAAAATAGGGTTAGCTAACAAGATCAAGTATAATGGACAGAAAGCAAAAAAAAGTCTTAAAAAGTGCAATAAATAGGTGGAGAAAATTTCTTTGGAACAAAACACTGGTAATTTTATTAATGAAGAAAAAATATTGTAATTATGAGAATATTTCCTTCATCATTCTATTTTTAATGTAATTTCCATTTTCAAAGACAATCTTACTTTAAGCAATCCAAATATACAAACAATTAAATTTAAATATCAAATATAGACAAAACTACTGCCTATATTATCCATCAAAGACATGTCTATTGTTGTTCATTTTAGTGTTAAAAACACAATATTAATACCTATAAAAACCAAATAGATATCTAGTACTAACTTTCCAAATTTCAGACCTTCCTTTATCAATTATATACTTCAGGAACTGGCTGTAAACCTGGAATTTATGACAATAATTGTTTGCCAACAAGTCTTGATTCAGTTGAACAAGGTATTGGTAGCAGTTCTCAACATCTTCTTTACAACCTCTGATCCTTACTTTACCACTCTTAATACCTTGTTCTGGAAGCTCGATATTCACCTAAAAAAATTAGAAAATCTCTCCTTTAAATGGATTTAGAACTGAACTTTTTTTTATGTAAAATTTATATACTATATTTTGGAAATATTTTAACACTAAAATAACTAGTTTTTATATATGTGATTTTTTTTCTTTCTATTGAATAAGAATTACATAATGTATATCATATTCTGTAATTCTGTTTGAGAAAATAAACACCCATAATGCACTCCCAAGTAAATGGTAGATGAAATCTGTTGAATCCGGCAAATTTAATGGGTGGATTGAAAGAAATCATTTTGGGAATATATGCAGTAAAAATTAACACAAACCAGAGTTGAAAAAGGCAACAAATAAGTGAACATTAACAATAGACTCAAGCATTTAACTAAATATTCATAATCATGGGAATTAATTTATATCAATCTATAAATCATTAATGATGTCCATTACTTTTATTCTGCTTATCAAGTACGTAAACGAGAAAGAAAACACTCTTACTGTTTTCCATACTTATCTATAATGTAGAAAACAAAAATAAGTTTGTTAAACACATAATAAAATAATTGTAATTTGAAAATAATTACCTGGTTAAACTTGTCTCTAATATTTTTAACTTTTTCGCCTTTGGAACCAATAATATTATCATGAAACCTCTTATCAATCATACACTCTTTTGTAATTTCTTTGTTCTGTAAAACAAAAAAAACAATCATTTCTGAAAGCATTTATGTTTTTACAATAGATGTCACTAGTGAGCATCTTGCTGATACCTAAAAGTATTACCTATAAAATAAAGCAGTGCCTAATAAACAGAATGACTTCCTGTTCATATCACTTTTCTTCTCCACTCACTGTGAACAAAGAGGATTTAGGCTTACTACATTCCTAACCTTAACCGACAACTTTAGATTATAAGTTTTGATTTAGAAGGAATTTTGGAGATATGTAAAGTGTATTATATTTTATAAATTTAGATTTCATGTTTATTTCTAGAATAAGCTATACACAAAGCAATCACGAAATAAACTATCAAAACCTGCCAAGTTAGCTAAATATTTCTACTTTTACCATTTTATGAACCATTTCCTGAAGCTCCTGCTTTACACGTGTCACATCAGCAAGATTTCCTTCTATCCTGATGAGGCTTCTTTGCTCAGAATCAGAGGAAATGTGAGCCATGATTAGAGTTTCATTCTGTAGCCCATATACTATTAGTGAGAGATTTTATTAATTACAATTACAGCAACTGAATAACAAAAGTGCAACATCAATTGAGTTTCTTAAGCCTTCAACCATGGCATTACTTTATTCACTTTAAATGAGTTGAAAGAGAAAAGATTTGCCTATACAGTTTAGTTTTTGTTTTTGTATGTTTCACAAAGTGGTGATCACACGTAGATGGACTCTATTTTTACCATACTTGATTTTAATTTTTTGCCTTATATTCAAGTCAAATCAATGCTTTTTTTCACTCTAACAGTCTTACTATCATGACGATCAGCCAGCTTGTGTTTCATTATTCTGTTTCCTTCTATAAACAAACTGTTCACTTTTTGTTTCAACTTGACACTGAGATTTATCTTTGTTATTCTACCTATACAAGCCACTGTGTCTGTCCTTTCTACATACTAGGTCTTATACTGGTTGCAAAGATCAAGTAACTGAGTGTCAGGAGTGTAAAGGTACAATATTTGAGTAACTTATACTGGTTGCAAAGATCAAGTAACTGAGTGTCAGGAGTGTAAAGGTAATGAAGTAGCTTTACTGGAGTACAATATTTGAGTAACTTATACTGGTTGCAAAGATCAAGTAACTGAGTGTCAGGAGTGTAAAGGTAATGAAGTAGCTTTACTGGAGTAACTTTTTCAGTATCTACTTTTTAAAAAGTATTTTTATATTTTCAAATACTTTTACTCTAACTTAAGTAATTTTTAGGATAATTACTTGTACTTTTACTCCACTACCTTTCATTTTATACATTTCGTTACTATTCTCAAAACTCAAATTTGTGGCAGGCAGTCAAAACATTAAGCATGGGCGGGAACTCTGAAACTACAACATAGCTTCGGGAAAAGGGGCCTAGAGACATACCTGGCATGCTCTGTTAATGGCATGAAGATTTTCAAGTCTTTCCGCAGCCTACCTGATAAAGCCATATGTTTGAAAACGCCACTCCCTTCTGCTGCCTGCGAGCATCTCTTCAGTTGTGCAGGGCAAACTTCCAGCTCTCTGCATGCAAGGCTTGAGTTTGGTAACCTTTAAAACCAGTTGCTTCGCAAATTGAATAAGAAATTTTGTGCATAATATAGTTGGTTTTTTTAATTCCTCATATAGTTTATTCTGAAATCATACGATTTGTACAATATTCATTATCGGTATTACTGTTGTAATGAGTTCATGCACAGTTGCCTGCATAAATTAGCTGAAACCCTAAGTGTTGTTGTGAATATCATAGTAATCAATTATATACAACAAATGTGTTCTAGATAACTAAAAGAATGACAAATCTTGCATCACTGGTAATTTATGTTGTTTGGTAAATCTTTTCCATACAGGATTTTGTTTCTAGACCTCATGCCCCGCAACATACATATAGGGTTTGAAAGAACTGCAGATGAGTGTACTCTTTACTTTTGTTACTTAAGTAGTTATTCAGTAGATACTTTTTTACTCTAACTTAAGTAACTTTCAGGATGGATACTTTTTGACAAAGTACTTTTACTTGAACTTGAGAAACATATTTTAGTACTTTTTCTACCTCTGCTGTGTGTTCAGTTTATCCTTCAAGTACTAAACATCATTACATTTGACTTACCACCCCAGTAGTCCATTTTGACATACTAGTTCACTGTCTGTATTTTTTTTTCTTTTTCATTAGGAGTAAGTAGCTTGTAACTGATGTGGCTCAAGTACCATCATTTGCTCTTTAATTTAACATATATTATATGAGAGTCTTGGAAACTGAATTAAAATCAGATTAATAACATATTCTCATCCTTGTGTATATCATATTGAATAAACCCCTTAAGTTAAAGAAATAGTAAAGAAAAACTAAGTCTGTAATATAAAAGAAAATGTTGACAAATTTGTGAGCCAAAACAAGCACGTCTGTACAGTACTACTGCTAATCGAGAAGTGATTAACAAGTGAGAGAGCGCTGGTTATGACAGGGGTTGTGTCATGCTCCTATTGGTGGAGAGCTGCTGCATAATCATTTACATGTGGATATGCAGAAACGGGGGGTGGAAGGCTAGTGGCGAGTGTTGAAAATTTGTGCTAATAGAGGGAAGTACTAATCAAGAAAAGCTATTTTGTGAGAGGAGGTAAGATATTATATCAGAATTAAAGAGTTAGCTTTTGCACCAGAATCCATTTCACTGTTCCTGCTCTGTAATTTGTACCTTGATTATATTTGTTGGCCCTATGTATGTGATACTTGTCTTCTGGGATGGTTTTATAGATTTAACTTCTTTAATTAATTGTATAAAAAACTGTCCTGAACAGTAACTGTCTTTACCATTGTCTCTATATTTCTCTGCCACATGCCTGTAGTAATGTGGATTCACATGAATTTCTTCATACGTAAAGGATGCCTTTAAGTCTGCGATCATATTTTCCAAAGTCTTACTAGCTCTCTCAAGTTCACACTGGGGTCCTTCCAACTTGATTTTGCTTGCCCTGTTGTTGAACTCTACAAGAACCTAAGGACAACGAAGGTTTTATAAAATCACAGAGATACACGTCCAATTTCAGCATTAATAATATTACTGCAAAAAATTCCAATGTAAATAAACAAAAACATGGAACATAATTTTCAAAATGGAATTTTCAAAGCTCAGGAATGGGCACTTAACACTTCAGAAAGTTCTTTATAGAATTTTTCTTGCTACATTAATTTTGAACCCTGATTGATTCATGTCGCACAAAACAGTGAGTGAAAATGATACAAAAGTTAGTGATGTAACGCGTGATATAATGAGGTGTATGCAACAAGTACTTTGGATTTTTATATTTTGTTTTCTTATATGTAGAACAGCAGGTAAAATATTTAGCCTGTTGAAATTGTGTGACAAAAAAAACGATTTGCGAGGTATTCTTATATATGTGCTAAAAATATAAGAACTTGGATGTTGAACATAAAAAAAGATGTTCAAATATTTGTTTTTTGACAAGTAAATCTACATTTCTTTATTTATTTTTATACATATACCTTTTATTTTACTTAGCAGATCAATTTTGAATCATTTCACTAAAACATTATATATTCTTAACCATAGAATGCCAACATTACATTTTCAATCATTAACACAGAGTAATCCCATGCTAGCATTTTAGGGTTAACAGGGGGTATACTTTCCAATTTAAAACTTACTTAATATTGTTCATTATAGACTCTACGTACTGTGAACAATAAAAATAAGATTCTCACCATAGGGAAGTCTTGAATCACATGTTTGATACTTGCTCCCTTCCTTCCTATGATATATTTATGAAGCCAACTAGGTGCACTCACTTCAGCCACTATCACCTTACTAGCCTGTTGGCCAAATTACAGGAAACATCTCATATTTTCCATTAAAGCTGGCACATAAATATTTAGTTAAACAACAAATAAGTATTTTGTTGATAACAGTTAAGTGCAACCATTAATTTGATAAATAAAAAAAAGAAAATAAACGTATTTAGTGTTATTATTTTAACATGATACAATTATCTCAAAAAAATACACGCAATACTTTAACATAACAGAGTTTCCAGAGAAAATACATATTTTATTGTGTAATTATCTTAACATAATAAGGCACACATAAAAAAAATATGTAAATATTTTAAGATCATATACATGCTTTATTGTAAATAGAGATTTTTAATTTCACCAACATGTTTGAAAAGTATAATTTTTCACACACTGCCATATGAACAACAAAATATATACATATAGTTACTGAAATATACTGACACAGCAAAACTTCAGCAATAAGTAACTTTAACTTAAATTTCATTTAATTTAAGCAATCAACAGTAAAGTTCTGCACACTTTGTATTATTAACTATTTCTGCTTTAAACATCTAGGCAGGAATTTTAATTTTACTACTCTTTAACTTGATGGGAAAGCAAATTAAAAATAATATCATGACCTCAATACAACCAATAACAAGTTACAAGCTTCCTTCAGTTAAAACCTGTTAACAAACACTTGGTTGTTTAAAACAGCCACACCTCTTCAAATAAATGAGATGGTCCAGGTCCTAATTTCTCTTGATATCTTCGCAAGAAGGTAGTTTCAGATGGACTATGTAAGGAAGGCACTTCAACTGACACACCTGTCTGAGATAAGACCTTCTGTTAGAAAAATGTGCTTTTTTTATCTGACATTAGTATACACAATCTAAAATTTCTGGTGCTAAAAAAAAAACCTAATTAATATTAAAATAGAGTATAAAACATTTTCATATCTTACACGTTGTTGTTTTTATGTCTGAAAACACAACAGATTTATTTTCAGAATAAAACAACTCTGGTATGAAATGTTTCTAATAATGAGTGTGAAGGATAGTTCAGGATATTTTTTCCATGTGTGTGTGTGTGTGTTTTCTGTATTACTTTGAGTTGTGCAGCTAAACTAATATGCGTAATTATATCATAACGAGAACAGTATACGCAAAACAAAAATTATTATTTCTGTACAAAGAGAGTATACAAATGATATTTCAAATTAACACAATCTAACATCCTAAAGGAATTGCTCAGGCAAAACCCTGATACACAAGCCAATCTAGGTGTAGTATATTCTCAACTAAATGATCACTCCCCCCCATATCTGATAAAGCCAAATATTTCCATTACCAACTCTTCAACATATTTTTGATAGTGTAGTAAACTAACAGTAAGTTTATAATAGACAGCACTTTAAGATATATAAACTGCCTTATCATAGGATGTTCATGAAATGTCTTAGCAGTCTAACTTTTCCTTTATTTTGACTCGGGAGTTTAAGAGATACACCAGAGGGCTATTGTTGCAGTGAAACAATGGAGTTGCTTCTTGTGGCGACATGAGGAAAAGTAATAGAACATGTTTCTCATAGAGAGCTACTGTTGAGATGAAACAGTGAAACTGTCTAATTTACATACACAGGGAGGCAATAGTTGAAGAAGGGCTATTGTCAGGCCC